GTTAACACAGGCCTACGATGGTTTTATTGTTAACACAGGCCTACGATGGTTTTATTCTCTTGATATTTTTACATGTTCTACAGTAATTCCTGTACGCTGAATCCGTCACGTATAGATTTTTCACAAAACGTCATAACGCAATACATAAAAGAAGGACCAAACCACGTAGTTTTGAAACTAGAAGACGTAAATTTCACCAAAATAAATCAGGATAAATGAGGATGCATATTCGTTTGACATCAATGTTCTTCCCTTCTCTTCAGTTTGTTTGTATTTGTTGTTAACAAACATAATAATAATAATAAATGTTCATTGTGGAAAACGAAATAATAATCTGATCTAAGTAAGAGTTTTATTTTCTTCCCGATTTGTAAAAATTACTTACGTGATAGAAAAAAAAATATATATATATATATATATTATTTTTCGAAATCTGCGTAGCTGAATTATGGAAAATCCGTTATTAAAACGAAAACAATTTTTATGAAGTTTAAATTCGCAGGCCTGTGTTATCAGAAAACGTTATTTCATGTTCGTAACAATGTTAAATGTGACATTTATAAAGATTATACTTTAAGCACTCCCCCTCACATCGGTAGTCCTGAAGGAATTTCTCTCATAGAAATAGACAAAATAGCGAAAATAAAATCAATAATACTTGAATAAAGACATTTTATGATTACATAGAGTACGTTTGTTAACCAATGGCACAGCGCAATGTCTGCGGACTTACAACGCTAGAAACCGGGTTTCGATACCCGTGGTGGGCAGAGTATATATAGCTCATCGTGTAGCTTTGTGCTTATCTTCAAACAAACAAACTAATGGGATTTTAATATTGGTCAATTGCGAATCGTCATCTTATTTGCTCCCCCCCCCCCCACACACACTTTATGTTAGATTGTTTAAACAATGTGTGTGAATATACTAACGTTAATTGAATTTGTTTCGAAGTTTTTCGCTCTGTTTGTTTACATTGTCAGTTAAGATTGGGCTTTAAAAAGTATAAAGAAAATGAACTTATTCAGCGACCGTAAACGTGTTCGTATGTAACCAAGAAACGTTTACTTCGTCAAATCTTTAGTTATTGATTTTTGTTTTTCTGTTATTCCTGTTTTTCTTTCAGTATGACAGTGTAACAGTAAGATGTTTTTTACAGGCTTTTGTATTATACATCTATTAAAATTAAATCATTTGAGTTGGGCTTGTTATTCGTTGAATTACTCACAATTGTTGTTTGATTGGCTTGGTAACAGTATTTGAGGCTAATACCCCAACGAGGTAACATTGACAACAGAATTTAAATTTTATATTCAACAGCTTCGTGGTAAAATTTAAATGTTGCCTTGAGGTCTGATTGGCATTGGTTGCTAGAAATGTTTCGCACTGATACCTCCCACACGTGATAAATCCAAAGTAAATTTGTTCGTTTTAACTCTCAAATTATAGACCGGTAGTAATTAATAGGATTAATAGCAATTTTGATGGTATTTTTTTATTTACATTTTTGGAACCCCTATAGTCAATAAAGCCACAGCCCCACAAACAAGTTGATTATTATCGGTTTAAGTAAAAGTGTTTTTTAAAAAGACGATTGGTTCGGGTTTCTAGAGTTAAGCCTAAGACTATTCTATTGTAAGTTTTGAAACTAATATTATCCTAAGATACACAATATCCTACCAAAAAATTTGAGGTGAACGGGTAATTTGTTAGATATCTAATGAAGTCGAAACGCCTAGTGTGATAGAGCGTGTTATATTTTGCCTATGTTCTCTCATAAAAACGGTATGATTGTTTTTGATATATGAACGAAAGATGGAGCTGTAGTCGTCAACTGATATTTTGGAAACGGGACAATTGCCGGTGGACAATATTACAAGTGAATTCAACAATTTACGTACATGTTATAACATTATATGTAATAATATGTTATATATTTATGGATCTGAGTAATCCAGATCTTTTGACTGGCAGTTGTCCTAGAATCTGATATGCTATAAATTCAATTACAACGTTTACGTCACTTTAAATATAAACCTGGGGAATTGATATTTCTCTGTTTAGTTTCAAGATCAGAATACTTAATTTATTGATTGTAGAATTCTTTATTCAACATTACCCAATTTTTTCTCCCTAGCCGTTAGTGATGCGCCAGCTGACAAACATCCGGCCCCCTGCTGTAACATACGTATGATGTTCAAACATACGGATGGGTGTGACTCCCCTCGAGTTTGCCCTTCGAGCCCCAAATTGAGAAAGAGCTCTCCAAACCACCTACTCGGCAGTCCGATCACATCACGTGATACGATAATTCAATGTCAGCCATTAATGGTAAGATATTCCACCAGATAGTATGGTTTAAAAATAGTACTTTATATTATTGGTAAGTAAGTGTAAAAACTGTAGGGTAAAAACGATGTATGTTGAAATTATAGTTTGTAAAATATAATACCCTTAAGTTTAAATAGTGTTTAAAAACACCTTGCACTTTCATAGAGTAATACTGCAGTATTTGGGATTCGCCGGTGAGAAGATTATTGTATTTAATTTCAAAATATTTGGTTCGTTATTTCGGAAACATTAACAGTATTGTGACGTCTCATTTCAATTTTTTCCCTCGTGCACTATTTTATTCATTATTATTTTCGATGACAGCGCCCTCTTAAAAGTTACTTTTTGAATACATGGGCAGACCTTTTAAGGACATGAAAAGATCAGCAAAACATTTAGGAGGAATCAAATTTTCGAAGAAAAAAATACTTAAGGTTTAGGTAAAGTAACTTTTTATTTTTTTCTGGTAAAGTAGTATTTTTTGGGATTTCAGTTCAGTAAATGTATGGTTTATCAGGAAAAGTTTTGTTATTTGGTGTATAAGTTCAATAACGTTCGTTTTTTTCAGAAAAAGTATTGCTGTGATATGTATATTCTAAAACGTTTTAATTATTATAACATCCTCTTTATACAACACATAATAATAATAATAAAAAATGTGGCTTAGAGCCCGATCTCTCAATTTCATTTATAGCTGGCGCCATCTGTTAACGAAATCTGAACACATTACACAAAGATAATTGATATGAATTAAATATCACAGTGATGATTTTTTTATATACATGTGTTGTGTATTAATTTATGTGCTTAACCAAGGTTTGTGATACCTTCTAGTAGCTTAATTCTTATCATAAAAAAGTTTGTTATAACTAAAATAATATATATATATATTAGTTTACAAAACTATTTACGTTTTTAAAATTGTAGATAAATAAAAATTCTACACCTATTTATTTACTGTAATGAAACTACTTAGTATTTAGTATTATCCTTTTTTTATCTTTTAGTAGACGAAAAGCCACACAATAATTAACTTTTCCAATTGTCACTAACTTCATTGAGGTCCATATCAGACTTTTGTCTTGGTGTTTAGCTAGGACTAAACTCGTCGAACGATGTTTTAAGTCTTGAATTGTTGTAACACTTGTTTAAAACACGGTTTCGTCAAGCCCGAATATAACAATTTTATACCATTTTTAAAATTAGCGCGCTAAAATGTTTTCCATTTTACAAAAAAAAAAAATGGGGGGATCTTTCCCCAAACTTGACTGAGAGTGCGAGCGTGATCGAAGTAGTTTCCATTAATTTTGGAATGTTTAACGAATCAATACCGATATTTTATTCCAAATGTAGGATTGTCAAATAAAGGAATTCAAAAAAAGTCATCGCAAACAATCAGACTTGGAGGAATTAGGGCCCATTTTACCCAAGACGCAACAAATGGCCCCGTCATCGCCAACTTCATCAACTAAAGGGAATGACGCCTGTTACATTTCAACCCGGTGAGTCTCTTCGACGTCTTTAGCAAGGAAATATCCTGTATTATAAACTCAACCTAATCAGTCTGTAGCGTATGTAAATCTCACTAGAACATAAATTCAGGAACTTATTTACTTGACTTACCGCGCCCCCTGGTGGGCCAGTGGTAATTTAGCGGACTTCAGAGGCGGTGGACAGAGCACACAGATTGCCTATTGTATAATGGCTCTGTGTTAAAAAACAAAAAACTGGCACTTCACTGCTCTACGCAGAGATACTGTAAATGGTGTTGTAAACTAGAAACCTTCTGACGTCTTCCTTTGCTTCTATGATTAAAATAAATTAACAACTTTAATGAACACGGCCCAGATTTCTAAAACGATGTTCTTATTTAAAGTCATCAAACTTATCAAATCAACTCAAACCCGGAGCAAACAAAATCTAGTCAGTAAAGCCTAGAAGAAGCAGAAAACAAGTAGCGTGTCTCTTGTGACAAATCTTAGAGTTAGGATAATTTACTACGAAAATTATAAGCTTGTTAAGAACAACCAAGAAAGATTAAAACAAAATCATTAAAGAAATGGAGTTGATGATTTTCATTTCAGTTATTAGACGTGTTTAATAGAAGTTTCCAAAGTTTAATAATAATATAAAAATAACAATTTTACCGAGTTATGTCATTATTTCTATTACTAGAATCCCCCAATTCCTGGAAATTAAAACTTTGTGGTGATTACGATGTAAGATAATAAGTAATATTTAAAACATTTCACTTATTAGCATATTTCAATTTACAATGTTGGAGAAGCGCCCTCTCTAAACGAGTTCACGCGACTCGTTTTTCTTTTAACACCGGGTTGCTTTACTTCTAAATAACGTTCTGCACGGTTTTCTACAGTGTGTTGGAAATAATTGTTTCCAACATGACGGCAAAGAGTGATCCTGTCATTAATGTCAGAAAAAAAAGATGACTCTTAAACTGTTTGGCTTTGGTCCAAGTTGGAAATGGAGTCTGGTGGTACTTTGGAATGAAAATAAAGTACAGCGCGAGAAGATCCAGTAAAAAAAATAAGGCCCCTAGTTGTAACAAAAACACTCAGATTGATGAGAGTAGTGAATGTTGAGATAAAAGTATAAAGGGGGAGGGGCGGCGTGTGTGTGCACTCAATCACTTCACAAGCGAGTTAACGTTTAAGTTAATAAATGTCACGTATTTGTTGGTTCTGTAGTGGCTAAATGTCGTAATAAGTCTACACGGTTGAAACTACAGATATAAATATTACTTACAGCGTTCTCGATAAAGTTAAATTTCCGGTCATATAACTAAAGCGTTGATGATTTAAATACGTCAGAGTACAAATACAAACGCATACAGTACAGCGTAAAGATAAACTATATAACTAAAGCGTTGATGATTTAAATACGTTAGAGTACAAATACAAACGCATACAGTACAGCGCAAAGATAAACTATATAACTAAAGCGTTGATGATTTAAATACGTTAGAGTACAAATACAAACGCATAGAGTACAGCGCAAAGATAAACTATATAACTAAAGCGTTGATGATTTAAATACGTTAGAGTACAAATACAAACGCGTACAGTACAGCGCAAAGATAAACTATATAACAAAAGCGTTGATGATTTAAATACGTTAGAGTACAAATACAAACGCATATAGTACAGCGCAAAGATAAACTATATAACTAAAGCGTTGATGATTTAAATACGTTAGAGTACAAATACAAACGCATACAGTACAGCTCAAAGATTTCTTGACTCAAACGATTTTGTTAATATAAGTATCGGACCCCTTATATTTCAATAGATACATATGTATTACCTAAATCTTTCGGAGAATAGCGGTCATTAGTGTGTAAATCAAGGCCGCTGTACGATTGGTTAAGACGAGTTGGAATAATATTTGAATTATAAGACAGATATGGTGACTTTTAATGGCTGGAGACGGCTTGAGTGGGTAATGAAGAAAAACTTTAATATAAGTTTAACATAACAGCAAATGTACAACGTTTCGACAAGGTTTTGTCATCATCAGGTATATTAAAGTTTTTCTTAATTACCCACTCAAGCCGTCTCCAGCCATTATTAGTCTCAAAGTGGGTTCCTCGTCATCGAATGGTGACTTTTATACATACAAAATGAAGTGGCTGACGGCAATAACCGAGATGTAAAGTTTTAAAAATTAATACAACCATTTATTAAGAAATATAAGCGAGAAATAAATGAAAATATTTTACACGTAACTTATTATATACACGTTCTCGTCACTGAAACCTGAATCTGGTTCCCAGAATTTACAGGGGGTGGGAAGCCCTTACCAAGTAAATTTTTCAGCTGATTTTTCGAGTCTCTAAGCACGTCAGACGAATGGCCGAAAGGGTTAACCCGGTAGTACGACAATTGTTAAACAAATCAAACCTCCACCTATCACAAACGAAATTAGTCCTAGGACTTTATTTCAGCGCCTTGGAACACCCATTATTGTTCTGTTTGTCGTAATCCATTTTTACCTTAATCGTGAGGGGGATTTGAACCTACATCAAGAAAGTGTGCTACCATAGCTAATAATTCTTAAAAACTGAAAATACCAACACATTATTATTATATAGAGAGAGAAAATAAAAAGTATAAATTGGAATTCAAATATATATATATATATAT